GCTTGTGCCAATAAGAGTGGGGAACAGCTTCCACGTAAAAACTGGGTTCAACCATTTTATTGACTTGTGCAATGAAAGAAAGGTGAATCGTGGAATAACGATGATAGGAGAGGTAGTTACAGAGCAGAAAACATGTACCTTTAGTAGGACCCGGCAACAAAGAAGACAATTGATCAGGGATGGGTAACATCACCTGATTGCATATGTTGTCACGTAAGCAAGGGATGGCACAGAGAGACAGTCAAATCGGCGGAGAGGGAATAGGTCATGTGTGGGTGTAGGTGGATTGGTTATGGGTGGACTGGGTGCAGGTTCGGCCAATGGAGATAATGGCATGGAGTCAGGCGCACCAAGCCCGGCTGTTGGATGAGATGGGGATGAAGGCATAGGGCCATGAGTAGGTTCAACAGTAGGAGCAGGTTCAACGATGGAGGGTGGTGAGATTGGGTTGGTAGAGGATGACCTAGATGGAGTAGTGGCATGAGAAGAAAAAAATTGGTCCAGGTCAGATGAGGAAGAGGCAACTGGAAAAGAAAAGGAGACTGAAATTGGAGAGAGAGAGAGAGAGAAGATAAATATTGATATGAAAAAATATTTTCATGGAATATGACATTACGACTCTCGAAAATTTTGTGAGACTCAGATCATAAAGTTTGAAGGCTTTTTGACTAAGGGGATAAACAAGGAAAATAGAGGGAATAGCACGAGGAGTGAATTCATTTGCCATATGAACATTGGTTGCATAGACAAGACAACCAAAAACATGAAGATGAGAGAAATATGGTTTTTTTTTTTTGGGAATAAAGACGTTCAAAATGAGTGTTAATAGAAAGAAGAGGAGTAGGAAAACGATTCATAAGATGGACTGCAGTTAAAACACATCCCCCCCTAAAATTTGGAAGGAAGATGGGCTTGAATTTTTAAAGCATGAGTTGTTTCACGAATATGTCGATGCTTGCGTTCATGAAAAAACTTTTGGAGAGAGAAATTCCCCTTAATTTTGGAATTAAATTAAGTACCAACAAAGGAAAATAATTTTTTTTAAAAAGATTTTATGTCTCATGTTTATGGCACATTAAAAATACCCAAGTAAATCGAAAATAATCATCAACTATGATATGAAAATAATGAGCACGAGAAATTGACAAATGCTTATAAGGGCCCTAAATATCACAATGGATTAAATCAAATGATGTGATAGAGGAAATTGCACTTGTTCCAAAAAGTAGACGACTCTGCTTTGCCAAGAGACAAACATGACAAGGATTATTAGGTACAAAAGGGAAATCTATTAAATGCTACATAAAATTTAATCTAGATGAAGAAACATAGCTAAGACGACGATGCCAAAGATCGGTTGAGGTGACAGTAAGATTGCATGATGGATAGTGAGGGGTAGAGTGATTGGTTGTGTTTTAGGGTTTCTCCGCTGATAGTGCCACCAAATAATAAAGCCTGTCATGTTGCTTACCTCAACTAATCGTCTTCCTCATAACAAGGTCCTGCAAAATACACCAATACAGGAAAAAAGTCACTCAACAATTCAAATTTTTTGTAACTCTACTCACGTACATCAAATCTACTGTGAAAGTAGGTACATATAGCACATCACATAAAGTATACGTAGAATTGAGAGGGAATGATCATGTGGTGGTAATTGAGGTCTTTTCCTCATTGGGCATACAGACCAGTTGCAGAGAATGATCAACATTATGACGAACTAACAATTTGGGAGATAAAATAATGTAATCTATCGTGCCACTGTCAATAATCCAACGCTGAAATTTTAATTTGGACAAACCTTTATTGGTGGCGGCAACGTTAACTTAAGATTTCTTGTCAGTCAATCCTTTTTCATTCATGATAGCCAACATTTGTTGAAATTGAAGATCCGAAAGGCCGAACATAACAGACTGCATATCATCCTTGGTTGGGCCTTCCGAAACATAATTTGAAGATGGACCACCACGATTTTTCTTCAGTTTGTGGCATGGATGACCTTCTGGATACTCATGAAGCTTCCAACAAGTATCGATGTGATGACCATTGTCATCACAGTAAGTGCAATGAGGCCAATTTTTGGGAGATCCGGCTTGGCGGTCATCACGGTTGGAGGTTTGGGAATGGTTTTGGTTTGACCAATCAATGTAATGATCATCGTGGCTAGTGGACCAATTCTGATTTGGTTGTCCAATTCTAACATCCATGGTTGAAGCATCAGAGGTTCCAGCGGCTCGTAAGGCTCCAAGCATGCATTGCTTCTTTTCTTGGCTAACAGAAGCGTATGCTTGGTGAACAGATGGCAAGGGATTCATCAAGAGAATTTGGCCACGAACAGCACTGTAAGACTCATTTAATCCTATAAGGAATTGCATGAGTTTGTTGCGATCGCCCATGGATTGCACAGGTGCAGGCAAAAGAATCAGTGTATGAGGCTAGTTCATCCCATAAGCCTTTCAACTTGGTGTAATAGGCAACAACTGATAATTGATCTTGTGTCAAAGATGAAATCTCCCGTTGAAGTTGGAGGATACGAGGAATGTTGCTTTGAGATAACCATTCACGAAGATCTTTAAAAATTTATCGGGTTGTGGTGCAATAAATTACACTATCGCTGATTTCGGGATCAAGTGTTGACAATCCAGGAGAAGACCATGTCGTTACAACGCATCCATGCTGCATGTTCATCAAGCTTGGATTCCGATGATGGCACTTTGAGGGTTCCATCAACAAAACTCAATTTATTCTTGGCATTCAATGAAACTGTCATGAATCTATGCCACATTGCATAATTATCTCCATTCAAGGGCTTTGACATAATTACCAAACCCAGATGATCTAAATTACTGAGGTAATAAGGGCTTGAAGGTTCAAGCTTCAATGTGTCGGAGAAATCACCCTTGGTGTCTGGCCGTGAAGGGTCTGAGGCACAAGAAGGTAGGATGCGATAGAAAAATATTATAAGCTAGGGTTTAATTGCCCTGCTATGATACCATGTGAATTTGATATTTGACCAGAATGATCTTTTCATTAATAGGTACAATTGATTTATATAAGAGTATATTAATATACAAGGAAACTAATCCTAAAATCTACAAAACCAACTAGGAAAGCAAAATCCTAATTACAATAGGATTGATATTAACTGAAAAAAAAAAAACCATAGCCACACAATGGTCCCCTTTCTCCTTGCCAACAACCAATTGCAAGAAAGCTAAGGAGAGAGGTGGCCACTCCCCCTCCTTCCCTCTGCCCATCTTCCCCTTCCTCTCCTCATGTCTCCTTCTTTTTCTCCCATATTTTTCCTTCCTCTTATCCTCTATTCTCCTCCCCTTCCCTTCCCTAGATAGTCTATATCTGTTTAGATATAGGTTTGTTTGTCTGTTTGTTTTGTTTGGTTGTTTTTGTAGTGGTCTAGGTGGCTAGTGTTGTCTTTGTCTCAGCAGAGGCAACAATAGAGACTTTGGATTGTGTCTTTCCTCGGGGGATACATGGTGGATGATGTTTTATTTCTGTTTTAACGGTGAGGGCAGCAACAACATTGGTGGTAGTTGTTGGGATGTGGTGCTCTTCTCTATTCTGCACCGACCAAAGAACTATGCTTGGTCATAGAAGGTGTTCTTTGTCTAGTCTTGAGTTGAAGTGGAGTGCTTCTTAAAGGTCCTTTTATTGTTGTTTTTGTGTTCCTCATCCGTGTTCTCTAATGGTTTCTACTATAGTATGCCTTGCAGTTTGTGTGGGTGTCAAAGGACTATGATTTTGCTCATAAAAGGCTTCTTTTGACAATTGGGATATTCTACGGTCCTTACCAGTGGGTTTACTATTTGGGTTTCTGCGGTCCTTTCATATGAGTCTACTGTGTTGGTCTTTAGTTGTGGTTCTCCTCAGAGGTCTTTAGGTTAGTTTCATTTTTGAATTGTTCTTTTTTGTAATGGTCCAAAGTGACCTAAATAGGACTCTCTTGTTAATCCATGACATGTGTGATACTCTTTCATCTCCTGAAGTTTGTCTCATAAGGTTGTCCTAAAAAGATTTTAACGAGGCTATTGTATCATGTCCTTTTTTGTACGTCTTTAGTTGTATGAATGAATACTCTTTCTATAAAAAATAAAACAAAAAACAAAAAAAAAAACTAGATTGATATTAATTAATATTATACAATTTGTTTTCTTAACAAGCTTTGTTTAGGAAGTGGCCCCACTTTCCCTTTGACAGACAGACAGCTCAGGGCCAAGTGTCACTGTCATGCAAAGCTCTGAATCAAAAAGATCACTGAGACAAAACGGAGATATGTTGTGTGTACAGTTTGACACCATACTTGAAGAGAAAGGGACTGATCGCTTCATCAGTCTTAGGAGCCCTGCAAACAAGGTATGAAAATGGCCTCTTCTCTGCAATTTTTAATATTGTAGTCTCTGCTCTCTGCAAAAAAAAAGGCTTCTTTTACTTGCCAAATAAATAAATGACAAAAGAAAAGAGACTTCTTTTACTTCCAAAGAGCTTCAAAGTTTACACCTTTGAATATTTTTTACTATTAGCGAAACTGTAGTTGGTCATAATAAGATTAGTAAAGGTGGTGACGGTGGAGCTGCTTTTATACAAAGCTTCATCCTTACGTGATTGAGGAAAAGCAGGACGACCCACATTGCAAAAATTAAAGATATGCATTTGATAATGATAAAGATATGGAGCAGGAGATTCCTTTGGGTCAGAGAGGTGTTTTGGTTTAATTTCTTTCTCTCTTTAGGAGGGGAAGGGTCTCAGTTTCTTTCCTCCTTTTGCTTTTTCTCCACATCTTCACACTCACTTTATGTTCCTTGGGCTCCAAGTGGGTTTTCGGTT